TACCCAGCGAACCCGCTCGACAGCAGTCGGATCATCGCTCGTAAGGTGCAACGATGACCTCTACGGCGCTGATATCGTCACCTCATCTTGATGTTATAAAAAAAACCCGGTGGAGACATGGAGGTTGAGACCTAAACCAGTACCTCATCTTCGCCTATGACTTCAGTTCATACATGGAGCATTTTGGGTTTCCCCAACGCTCGCAAGCTGCCCTGAAAATCCTCCAAACTCTCTTTAAGAATGCTGTTGTCATCCCCCGCTTCCCCAAGTGCCTCGAGCACACCGTAGCATCGCTCGCTGGAAGCAAATCTACAGTAGAGCTCAGGGTTCGGCGAGCATGAAGGGAAAGCATCAGCGCTGTGTTCGGTGCGGTGCGGTGCACTTAAGGCAGAGCATTATTGACAGAACTGGCGAACGGCCACTGAAAATTGACATCCAGAACAACTGATTGCGGGTTAGGGGTCTTGCTGTTAGGGGTCTTGCTGTTAGGGGTCTTGCTGTTAGGGGTCTTGCTGTTAGGGGTCTTGCTGTTAGGGGTCTTGCTGGCTGGGGATGGGGTTTTCCTGCTCTGCAGTCAGCCAGGTGCACTACCTAGTGAGTGTAATCGGGCCCCCAGAACCAGACGAGATTAAACCATGGTGGTGGATACGCCGTGCTTGAGAATAGAAACAGTACTGTCAATATAACAACCTAGTGGAGACATCGTGTTTGAGACCAGGAATAGTACTGTTAATATAGCAACCTAGTGGAGACATCGTGGTTGAGAACTGATACAGTGGTGTCAATGTAGAGGCATGGTGTCTTCACAATATCTAAAACCTAATTCATGTCACCATAGTAGCATGCATGTGAAGTATACAATCATCATCTCGTATTCAAACAAGCAAAAAAACTACAAAAATACATACATGTGCCTCGCCTATCCCTCCCCCAATCATCTGGCTATGTTGAATCCCCCACGTAGGAGCCAAGCCCTTTCAGGCGGCTACGACTATGGAGTTCATCTCAAGCCTCGACAAAGGAGGGAGGGGGCGGATACGGCTACAAAAAACAAAAAACAAAAAAAACGCCCAAAAACGCCGTCTCCACCGGGGTATCAAGCGACCGAACTCCTCCCAAAAAGCCCCCACCATGTATCCCCGAGAGATCCCTACCTAGTAGGTAGGGATACTCTCCAGAAGGCCCAAGGCCCTCCGGCCCTCCGCCTGGAAGGCGAGGATCTGCCGCTCACACGCCACACGGAGCTTCTCCTCGCCCCGTGTGGCGTTGTAGAGCACCCACTGCTCCACCGACATCCCCTTCTCCTGGGCCGTGAGGCCCGCCGAGACCGCTGCGTGGAGGTCCGCAGGGCTGGCACCAGCAGCCGCGACCTCGTCCAACCCCCCATCGACGACGACATCGTTGAGGAATCCCCGGGGATCCGTCTGATCGGAGAAAAAAGCCTCCATATCTGTCGGCTGCCAGGCTTGACTGTCGCTGGCGCCTTCGGCATCCCTCATCATCGTTGGAGTCTTCTTAGGAGTTCCGACGAGTAAGTCACCCGGTAGACTAGACATCTCGAAGTCTGCGACACCAGTATCCTTGAGGTGTGTCGGTGTCTTCTTAGGGGTACCGACAGCCAAGGAAGCAGGTAGGCTGGACATCTGAAAGCTCGAGACTGCAGTACTCTTGAACTCTGTCGGTGTCTTCTTAGGAGTACCGACTGCAAGGTCATCTGGGAAACTGGAAATGCTTGAGGATCTGATGCGTTTTCGTGCGGGTTGGGACATCTCGGAGAATGCCTCCAGATCATCTGTGGCCTGCTCACTGGCACGTTTCTTGCCACGCGTAGGCTTCTTAACTGCAGATACTTCGGAGAAGGATTCCAATTCGTTGGTGGCCTGCTCACTTGCGCGTTTCTTGCCACGCGTAGGCTTCTTGATAGCGGGTACTTCGGAGGATGATTCTATTTCGCTGGTGGGCTGCTCGCTTGCGCGCTTCTTTCCACGCGTAGGCTTCTTGGCAGGAGGTATCTCGGAGAAAGCTTCCAGGTCATCGGTTGCCTGTTCGCTGGTGCGTTTCTTGCGACGCGTAGTCTTACTGGCAGTAGACGCTGTGGAAGAGCGTGTTGAGGTGCGCTTAGCTTTGGTAGAGGTTCGCTTGGCCTTCTTGACCGGCTCAGGTTCTGCGGGCGCATTGTAGAGTTGGAATAGAGTGAAGAAGAGACAATCGGGTGAGCGGCGGCGGTGCTCTTCCATGGGGTTGTCTCCAACGTCCCAGGCATCGAGAGACAGATTGCAGTAGGCACAGGTCACTCCATCAGTCGCGCCATCTGCGGGGTCATAGTACCATCCTGCATGGACCATCTGGTCTGAAGAGGGGTAGCCTTCGCTGCTATCGAGAGGCCACAGTTCGCCAAATGTAGCACGTCGTGCGGACACCATCGCCTCACTAGTAGGGTCTTCCTCGACTCTGCCGGGATCTCCATTGCGTAGTCGTATGCAGGTAACCACAGCGTAGCCACAGCTCGGTGAATGTGTGAGATGCTCAAAGGCAGGGACATCCGACTCTTCCCAGCCGTCCAGCTGGCATTCGCAGAAGTAGCATTGGACGTTGTCTGGGCTCGCTGTCGTGGGCTTCCACACAAAGCCAGCGTACGCCAGGTCTTGTGCACTGGGTGATGCCAGTGGCCAGGCAGCTTTTGACTTCGCTCCTGCTTTCTTTGAGCGGCTTGAAGTGCGTCGTGACTTCGTCGAAGTTGAGGTTTGGAAGGTGGCAAGTCGCGCTTGCAGAGAGGCCAGAGACGCGTCCATGGCGTGGGCTGCTGAGGAAGTCGTTTGGAGTGTGCTCAATGTTGTGGAGTGTCAATGGCAATGTTCTGGTTGCAGAATTTGATGGCTTTTGATGGCTTTTGCAGCTTCGAGTGTTGGGGTGTGGGTGGTGCTGGTGGTCGAGTGGTGGGGTGGGTGAGGACGTCGCGACCTGCAGGTGTTGACGCGGCAAGAGATAGCAAACAAATCCCCCGCCAAGGCTTGTTGCGGAAGCGACGGCTTACGTCACCCGCTCTGCTCACTTTGCGCAACCTGAGGCATCGATGTCTGCACAAGATGCATCGACTTCGCCCATTATACCGGATAGCGTGGTGTAGGAGGCCGCTGCTGCAATCGAACCGCCGCTTTATCTCATCGCAGAACACCCAGCCCACCAATGCGCCGCATGGGTTCCAATCGCTGCCTCCGGAATGGGAGGACGAAGCACCCTCGCTGTCCGACTTTACAGAGCTGCCGCACAAGGACTTTGGGAAGAATCAGTTGATGGAAACAAATGAAGAATTCAAGAGAGCATTAAGAGGCATACTGAAGCAGTTCCCTCCCATCACCTACGCGTTTGCCTACGGCTCCGGTGTCTTCCCCCAGTCTGCTGCGACAGCTTCGCGCGCAACTCAATCACCTCATCCGGACCCTCCCGAGGCGATATTAAAATGGCAGAAAGGCGGGGGAAAGATGATTGACTTCATCTTGACGCCAAAATTCTCGCAACACTTCCATTCACTCAACCTGCGCGAGCACCGCGACCACTACTCGTTTCTCGGGACATTGGGCTCAGGGGTCGTCAGCCATGTGCAGGATAGATACGGCGCGGGCGCCTACTTCAACCCATACATCACGGTCAATGGTACCTTGATCAAATACGCCGTGGTCAACTTTGAGACTCTGCTCCGCGATCTCACCGATTGGGACACGTTGTACTTTGCAGGCCGTCTGCACAAGCCCGTCAAGATACTGTTCGAGGAGCCAAACATCCGAGTCGCAAACCAGCGCAATCTGCTTTCCGCGGTCCGATGCTCGCTTCTCTTGCTACCGCCAACGTTCACCGAAAAGGAGCTCTATTCGACGATAACAGGCCTAAGCTACCAAGGCGATCCTCGCATGCAATTCGGCAGTGAGAACCCGAAGAAGATCAACAACATCGTCACACACCAAATAAAAAAACTTCCGTCTCCTCTATCACGACCTCATCATGTCTCTACCGAACATCCGTTACGCCGACGATTCAGCGATCGCAAAGTCAGGGTGGATGGACAACCCGGGTCTCGACCTGAAGCTCTCACAAGACATGGACCCCGAGCGACGAGCCAACATGGTCAGGCGGCTACCCAAAAAGTTTCGAGAGAAAGTATACTTCCAGTACCGAGGTAAATTCGGCATCTCAGGCCGCGACTATCAGGAGATGCTCGAATCGAGCAAAGACGAGGACGCAAAGGGCAGCCTAAAGAAGCAAGTCGCCGGCGCATTTGACAAGCGGATAGCTGGCGAGACGGACCTGCCGCAGATGGTTACCAAGGCAATCAACCAGACCGTCAAGTGGCCCTCTACCGTCCAAAGTCTGAAGGGCGTCCTCACTGCAGGTCCATCTAGGGCGTGGAGATATCTCGCAGAAAAAAGGGAGAAGGGCAAGATTAAAGACGCTTGAGGTAGGAAAACTTCAGCGGACGTATTAGTACTGTTGCACGGCATGCCTTTAGCCACAACCACCATTGTTTTTCCTTTGTACTATTACTACTAAAAAGCGCGCGAGCAAGCGTACTATGCGCTCTGTGAAGATAGACTTTGGGAGTAAGACTCGGCTTAGTCGCTTTTGCAGAGCGTACTGGCGGGTCGGGTCAGGTTAGGCGTGGATGAGTGAATGAGATGCAAAAGGCGAAGCTACCATAGACTTTGCATAAACTATCAATCAATGTAAAACAATGAAACAAAATACTCATATATTCCTCAACGTGATATGCCTACTAAGTCTTTTAAGCTCCGTGCAGTAGAACCTATGACTCCGATATTCGTTCGTTCGTTCGACTCATCAACCGTCTCCACATTCGCTTCGCTTGCTCGTGTAGTCCGTGTAGTCTTGCTCCACACCGCTACGCGCACACACACACATACCGTCTCCTCTCACCTCTCCCTACCATAACTACATATGTGTATATATACCCTCCAATTCCCAAATTCCCCATCAACCAATCAAAAGGCCTGATGGTCTAGTCGTATGATTCCTGCTTTGTAAGTGTCTCCACAACCACAACACAGAAGTCGAGTTTACTAATTGCGAGTAGGGGTATTAATAGCTTGAATGCAGGAGGTCCAGGGTTCAATTCCCTGTCAGGCCCTTTCTTTTTATGCTTTTTTGCTGTTCTTTTTTTCTGGGTGATAAGAAAAAAGGGGAGGGGGAGGATGGGCGTGGTGGGAGTGGGTGGTGCTTTGATGAACTTGTTTTTGCGGTCAGTAGGTGTGTGTGTCGTGAGATATTTACTGACTAGAGTTACGAATGAATAGTACGGTGGAAAAGCATGTTGGAGTGTGATGGGTGCATGTTTCCGAGACTAGAGTCAGTATATATGTATGCTAAATCTCGAGTACATGCATCAAATAGCGACGAAGAAGTAAGGGAAGACACAATAAGATTGATGAGTATAACAGAGTATTGGTATCGTAGCATGTCGTCCCAACCGAACGAAACCTTGCAGTAACTCCAACTCCAAGATCATCCCGTCATGAAAAAAAAAAATTCCATCGTAAACAATTTTCCCAAACAAAGCCCTCCCGTACTCACACCATATCACTTAACAACCAACCACTCACTGCGGCCAAACAACACTCAACGCCTCCCTCCTATCAATCTGCAATCCCTGCTTCTCATCTCTCCTCACATCCTCCCCCAACACAACAGTCGCCAACCGTCTCACAACATCGTCTCCCTTGATCACCTCCCCACTCTGTCCCGGCGCACAATCACCCATCTGGATCTCGATCTTCGTCACCTTCTCGTATTCAGTGATCCCATCCAGCGTCAACAACTGCATGTACACCGCACACAGCACGACGAGTTCCTCGCTCATGACCATGCTGTAGCCCCAAGCGGAGTATACCGCGCCGACGTAGGCGTGTTTGTTTGTAGCAACGAATGTGTTGAGGAGGGAGGCGTTCGTTTCGGAGAGGGGCGTCGATGGCGAGATAGAGGGGGAGAATAAGGCGGGGTGTTTGAGGTGTGTGGTGTAGAGTTTGTCGAGGGCTTTGTAGTGCGTCTTTGTCCAGGGTTGGACTTTAGGTAGAGGTGTGAGGCGGGAGAGGATAGGGTGTCGGGGTAGTGGTGCGGGACGGCTGAGAGCTTCGAAGAGTGTTGAGGTGAGGCGGCTGAAGAGGCCCGTGGTGGGTTGTTCTGGTCCTTTAGTGGGTGCCGTGTTGTTGCGAGCTTGGGGAGTTGGCTCCGTGCTGGCTTCTGTGTCTGCGTATGCCGAGCTCTCATCCGACTCGTGCTCTTCTGTGCTCTCCGCAGCGTGCATTGGTCTACTAGCTGTCATCTGATCTGACTCTTGATTGTGATTGCTAAACAGTGGTACTGGTCTACGTGTAGGAGATAGCATGCTCAGGGCAAAGTTTTGCTTCCTGCGAGGTGGGCTTGACGGTATGAGGCTCGTGTCCTTATGCCACGTTCTGCTGGGTTCGGTGACCTCAGTGATTTCGTTGAGACTACGTTCTTGGGGTTCATAAGCATCGAGATATTCGTTCGCTTCGTTTCGTACACGTCGAATGCTAGATGCAGTAGTACCTTCCATCTCGACGCGAAATTGGCGTTGGTCAGAGGCCGTGGAAAGGACTGTTTCACCGTCCACGAAGGTGTGAAAAGGTGAGCTCTGTGGGAGTGGCAGTGACGACTCATCTGCAATGCGGGAGGGAGAGTCGGATGAAAAGTCGGATCCACGAAGTTCCTGACGCAGCGGACTGCTCTTCTTTGGAGAAGCCGCAAAACCGGGGAAGCGAGGGGGCGTGTTCAAGAATGGGTTTGTTTTCGTCTCAGAACGTGACTCTTTCGTTGCGATGGGAGGTGACGATTCTGGGAGTAGGCTTTCACCCTGGTCCAGTAAGGTAGAAAGACTCAGTTTGTCCGCCTTTTTCTGTTTGAGCTCAATGGATCGCTTTGCGTTGAAGATGTTGGGCATGTTTGACTGGAAAAACATGCCAGTGTCGTCGCTAGCGTCACTCATTACACTCTCCTCATCATCTTCAATCTCTGTCTCTTCAGCTTCGACTATGGGAGGATCTTGCACTTTTGCTTTGCCATTGTTATGTCTGACCGAGGCCAGCTCAGCAGTTGCCATATGCGGATTTGAGGCATGCTCAGGAGACTCCGCCTCGTCACTGTATTGAAAGTTGTTTGCACTCGTGCGACGCCACGTCCTAGGAAGTTTTCCGCGAGCTGGCTTGACTGGGCCATCTTCTGCAAATAAATCCTGCAATTGCGGAGATCCTTTGGCGGGTACATCCTCAGTTTCCGACGAGTTGGATGAGCGACTAGCCTCTTCCTGCCATATGTCCGAGTAATCTTCGTGCTGCATGGGCTTGCTTGTGTTGGCTGTAACTGCACTTCCATGACCACGATGCAAGTGCCGATGTTCATTGCTCATGTTCCCCAAGGGCCCGCGCTCAGCGTTCGCGACGACGACAGGAGGAGTATCAACACGCCAGCTCATCTCGTCTTCGCTCCTCGCAGGGCTTAATAGCGAATTCTGGACCTCCTCGGTGTTCAAAGATGGATATTGAATGTCGTTCGTTTGAACAGACTCCGTATCGGGCGTGATGATATGATCATCTTGTTCTTCGGGTGTGAGTAGACGGGATTGACGATACTTTCTATGCGTCCTGAACACACCTTCTCTGGGCGCTACCTCAGGCTTGCCTTTGATGGGACTGGAGACAGCGGGTGAAGATTGACCCTTTGTTTGACCTTGTGCAAGCTGCTCGCCAAGACGAAGACCTGCTTGCAATTCTCTTCGTGTGCCCTCGCTGAAACCTCGGAAGAGATCGTCGAGCTCATCGCGCTTGTCGTCGAGCGCTTTCTGCGAAGGTTGAGGGGTCAGGCGGCTAGGATCCAGAACGCCTTGAAGAGCTACGCCCGCTGTAACTGCTCGGCCGAGCCCTAGAGTTTCGGTCTTCGACTCAGAAGTCTGTAAAGGCTGGATCGCGGGTGGTACTGAAGGGACTACAGTGTCGACATCAGGCGTTTCATAGCGCGGTGATGGGGTGGGGCGTAATGAGTTGTTCGAAACCGAGCTGGGCAGACCATGGGACGGATTTGGCGAGGGTCTATTCGCCGTTTGAGACACAGAGCTGTTGGAAGTGTCTGCTGAGAGCATCAAATACTCGTGCTGGAGCGTTGATCCAATACTGGGCTTCATAGCGTTCTGGTGGTCCTCAGGTCTGGGTGGACTACTCAGGCCCCCATTGCTAGGTAAAGAGTCCACAGATATCATGCTAAAGTTTTCACTGTCGAGCACAGTTGTATCGTCTGGCATCCGGGTGGCACCTTCGTCAAACGCAAAGTTCGTAATATCATGGACATCAGCGTCCTCGCCGTCCTCGAATGCTTGAGCAGGTGAAGCTGTTGCATCACCTTCATCAATCGTGGTCCGAATGATAGGTACGTTCACAGCCGATGGCGAGGAAGAGTTCTCGCTTGACGTATGCAGGCTTTGTAAAGCCGCCCTTGACGCCATGGGGTCCTGTATCGTATTTCCACGCTCCTTTTCTTCATCCTCGCTAGATGGAGTGAGGACATCGCTGTGTTCGTCTGAATCTTCATCTTCCAACGACTCCAGCGGGACGACCTTCTTTGCGTGTGGAGTGCCTTTGCGCGCGCGAAACTTATTCCCCAGCGCAGCTAAAGGAGGCGTATCTACTGTGGACAAGTCATCTTGGGCCAACAGATCGATAGCTGGAAGGACTGCTTGTGGAGAAACAAAGCGCGTGTTCTTCTTCGAGCTCGTGGATGTCGACTCCATTGCAGGTACCGGTGTCACCTCCAAAGTGGGAATATCCTGAGGCTCTGATACCTGGACCACCAGCGTCTCATCGTCCTCGATCGGTGGCTGTACACTCTTTCGGGGGCGGCCCCTCCGCTTCTTGGGCGGTACATCGGTATCCACATCTGCCGCACTCGATTCTACTGCTCCCATACTCGCATCTCTTGACCTCGACCTTGCCACCCTCCTCACTGGTGTTCCGTTTCGCTTGGGCTTTGCCGCCGATCCAACATCTGACTTCCTTGGTCGTCCACGTGGGCGCTTAGCTGGAGATTGCGCATCTGGGTCCTTCAATGGCACGGTGGTAGTCTTTGTTCTCGTGATTCGTTTGACACTTGGTGACTCGGTGTTCTCTTCGTCGCTTCCGGGTTCAGCCTGCACAGTAACTTTAATGCGCCATGGACTTGCGTTGCCCATCCGGGGTGTGCTCATAACGAGTGATTTTGAGGGCGATGAGAAGCCCAACTCCGATAGACTCAATCTGCTGTTTTGCTTGCTCGGCGAGGTTGCAGTCAAAGGCTGTTTGGGGGCCGTGTTGCGTGTTGCTTTTGCTTTGTTTTCGTTCGTGGAAAGAGCCAACGGATCTGGGCTCGACTCGTAGCTGCGGTCGGCATCGTGGCTCGCACTCGCAAATCGACCTCGAGGCGCCATGATTAAATCACGATCCGAGGAATGGGTGGCTTACTGGTAGCGATGGTAAAGGTGCTGTTGAAACGTGCCGCCCGTGGAATGCGGGACGTGATACGCGCGGTCGCCCTAGCAACAATCTTATCAGTCGCGACTACGCATCGTCACGACACAACCATCACCACGACTCGTTGTTGGGTATGGCGTCGCAATGGGAATTCACGGGTGAGCGGGCTCCATTTACTGTGTACTTTGATTGCTACTAACACGTGCTGCAGGATATACAAGGAGATCGGCCCTGGGAAGCGCATAGCACTGTCGAAACTCGCCGTCGAGAAATTTGAGGCAACAGGCAGACCATTGCGCATCGCCATCGATACCTCCATCTGGCTCTTCCAGATCCAAGCAAGTAAAGGTAAGAGACTGTGAATTTGTCAAAGTGACAGACACTGACAGAGAACAGGCGGCACCAACCCAGCTCTGCGCACCTTCTACTACCGCCTCCTTCGTTTGATCGCACTCTCCATTCATCCCATATTCGTATTCGACGGACCCAATAAGCCGCCTTTTAAGCGCAACAAACGTACCGGCCCCAATGTCGCCTCCATCCCCGAATTCTTGGCAAAGCAGTTGTTGAAACAATTTGGCTATCCTATACATTTAGCGCCAGGCGAAGCAGAGGC